TTGTCTCGCCGACATAATACTACCATACCTATCGAGCAGGGCTTTGGGGATTCCGGTTGCCCAGCTCATCTCAATGGAAATCTCGGCCTGGGGCTACGGTCTTTCGGATTTTTTTGCTCGACCGTTGGGACAGGAGTGCCGGATTTGCAACGTTCAGTCTGTCGCATGCAACCTAATCACCAACGGCATGCCAAGCAAAAACGCAGAACGTAAGTATCGGAAGGCTAGCAACAGGTCACACTTGTAATTCGCCAAGCTCTTTAGCTAAGCCGTGGCTACTACCAATGCCAATACCCAGCGTCTCTCTTCCGCCTCTTGAGGACCGCCACGTTTGCGGCGCCAATCCTAGACGATGCATGCTATATGCGTATGCTGGTTCACAGGATGCCTATGTGAATGGAAGCCACCGCCCATTTCTATCTCGGGCTGAAGTTGGTATTGAGTCGATGCGAGAAGCGCACACGATTCCCAAGCCGGGGTACTGAATCAGTCATACAGTTCAGGGTGTCACTCGGTCACGACTACCGCCGAATGAGCCCCGCACGCGTCCGGCATGAAATCCATAACATACCTGGGCGATTGCAGCTGCTGGTTCTGTTCAGCTGATAGGTGTGCGCACCTGTTGATACCAGCGAGCGCATGGGAATTGCATTTGTACATATCTTGGTAAAGTTACAGGGAGGCTGCTTCGAACCGAGTTGCTTCTTCAGCCATGCGGCCGTTGCAACCTTTCGGCATCAAGGCTTTGGAGTTATTCCAACTGCAGTTCATGTAGCTTGAACTATGCTTCAGCTTCATGAAAACGAGCCTCTGCACAACCCTTGTTGCTACAGGTTTTGGCCACTTCACCCACTAACCGTGTCTCTGGACCTACAGCCTAAAGCTTTAGTGCCGAATGCTCGTTGCCGTTCTTATGACCACAGCCTACCGGGTCGGGTTGAGGAGAGGCCACGGCCCCGGTTTTTGCTCGAATTCGTATCATCTCCCGGTTGAAGTTCAAAGGCTCGTCGCAATGACAGCTGTTTCCGAAAGAGCCCGGTACCAAACAGCCGGCAGCACTACTAGCCGCTCTGCTTGTAGTTGTGTTAGGTCTCGCTCTGTCTGATGCAACCCATCCGCAAATACCATGTCAAGAGCCCGGTCCTAGTCATGACAACGCTTACTAGTTGATGGAGTCACTACAACTTCATTCCATTTCAATGTCTACGTGCAGCTCAGGCAAGGCTGACACATGTTGCTGCAATATTTCAAACTTGGAGGATATCTCGACATGCACCCAGCTTAATCGTTGCGGAGCATACAAATACGACAGCACACACGGACGCGCCCAAAACGAAGGCCTCCGTCCTTCGTGGTGTCTGTGATCGTCGCGTAGGATACACAACATTGCAAACCGGATCGGCGTTGTAGCACGATGCGCCAGCTACATGTTCAAAAGCAACAGCCCTGCTGCGGGAGACCCCTTTTCCGCTCAGCCCAAGGCAAAGATGGCGCAATGCAGAAACGATGGCAGGCCATAGATGAAACGTCGTTAAAGCCAAAGACGCTGAGGGAGGCTTTGCCCAGCGGTCCAACACATTAACACACTGGAGATCACTGGAGCCTGCATTGGCTCTCGGACGCGAGGACTTCCCGCGAATGCCCTGCTGTGTGCAGGATATAAGACTGAGTATATATTTGCAAGAAAGGACTTGGTTGCACAAATGTAATTCAAAAACAGATGCTAAACACGAAGTGTTGACACTTCCACCAAGTAGCAAATTTCTCTCTGAGTGTCTTGGGCGGAAAACTGTCGGAACGGAAACATGTTCTTTAGAGTTAGAGAGCTGCCTATGGCGCCCCGGTGTTCAGCGTCAGTACCCTGCCCCTTCGGCCCATGAGGCTGCTGCCTGACAGTTTAGAGTTTAGGATTTTGGGCGGTCACTTGCAGACGAAGCGGGTTTGTGGCTTGGTTAAGGCCTCTGATGATCACCACTCCGTGTTTCCGTGTTTGAGGGTCTACAGAGCACGAGCTGGAACCTTCCAGCTTCGAAGGGTTGTGGCACTCTCATGGTTGCTTGGTTGTCCCAAGGTATACGACTGCTATGACAAATTACCGTTTGAAGGGTAGGTATAGGCAGCCAAGAGTCCACTGACGGGACAGTCTTATCCAGCTTCAACTGATACTAGAATGTATATGGCAAGCATTTTGCATACGATCACATAAGTATAAACGCTACGTAATGCTACATACATATGTAATATTATTGCTGTGTGTGTGTGTCTCTCGCTTCTCTCTGTACCTCTCCCTCACAACATGTGTTTTCTGACACAGCTGCATTTGGCACCAGTGTGGGCAACCGTGCAAAGCAATCGATGCTCATTGCGCAAGTAGAGCGCATCTCGTTCACTTACGACTCCTCGTAGCAAACCTTGGCCTGCAGCTCAACTTTTTGAAGACTCGCAAACTCTCATAAAACCGTCACAGAACCTAGGCCTAAACCCTAAACTCTCCGAAGTCCGGCACCTCCCCCGCCCCTCAGGATGCCTTTCAAGTTCAAGACCGGCATAGCGGGAGCGGGCGTCACCGGGCTGATAGGTTCCGTGCCAGTGTCATCCTTGGATAGTCCGGGATTTATATGGTCTGAGGGAGGTGTCAGGGGCGACAAGGCAGTTCGGACGTTGCATGGGGTCTTCCGTTTGGCCACAAAGCCGCAGCTTACGTTGAAGCCGACAAACCACGACGACCAAGCTTTGCAGCACCCGACGAAGCTTCCGCGTGTACTTCACAACCCACTCACGCTAACTTTGCAAACTAGCAGCATCGATCGAAACGGGAGGCTCACGTTTGGATGACAAGTCCGGAGTTCGGTGAGTTCGGGGCAGCTTCTCCGCAAGTCACGGTTACTCAGACTTACTCCGGAAGGCTCTTTTGCATCCTTAATTTCTTACTCTAAGGCAATGCTCATCTCGGCACAAATCTCAGCACCGAACCACCAAGCTTCGAGTGTACCCACGCTCTCCGTCTGCAAAGATGTGATTCTTGGCCGGCGAAAAATCTCCATAGAGCTGCGCGTGCCCGAATCACTAGAAAGGTCCAGGCTGTCGTTTCTTACTGCCACGCCCTGAAACCTCAGCTGCAGTGTGTTCTGGCGTTAAGCTGTCAGCCATAACAGGTATAGGTAGGCAAAACAGACGGGTCTGCATGATAGCTGAGGCACGCATCCAGAGGGACCTCGTCCGGAAGGTCTCCCAGCAAGCTGTACAGATTGTCCCAGGAGAAATGGTCTGAGCGAATCGAGTCGAGATAGTCCTGATACCTTGGAGGACATGCAAGACTCTGCGCACGAACCCCACCAGCCTACAATATACCATGATTTAAATTACTACAATATACTATATCTTGATATATATATATATAATATAATATTGTATATGTATATATTATAAGTATAGTAGGATGCAGTTTAGCCCGGCTTGAAGGCCAATAGGGTTTCGACTCGCGCACATGCACGAAGCCATTCGGGTTTCAGCACTCACAACTGGGACAAGCCTGGCGAGGTTCCGAGTACATCGACTAGGGCTTCGGGTTTAGGGGTTGAGAGCATAGGGGCTGAGGGTTCATTATGTGTATATTGTATGTTTAAATTTAAGACAGATCATCGGCGACATCTGGCCCGCAAAGCCCAGATCTCTGCAAATCCATCTGCACAGTACAACTGAACGTGCGAGCAATGAAACAGTACGAAGCCTGAATGGCCTAAGCCTGCTTGCAAACACTCTCCAGGAACAGCACCGGCCCTCAGATCAACCGACAGTGCCTAGACTCGCCAAAATCACTGGCAACTGCATCTGCAAAGTTGCCGGTTCCTCGAGCGTGTTCGAGACCGAGGGGACGGCACATCGTACTGCACATCCGCTCCCACAACATGAACCTGGAAGCTTCTCTCGCCGGGGGCAGAGTGAGCGTGCGAGACTCCCATGGGGTTTGGGCTCTCCCAGCTCTCAGCTCCCAAACAAGGTTGCAGGAGAATGGGAAGCTCCCTCCATGGGCCAGTGAATGTACAGGAGCTTGATTCTAGATGAATCAACGCACTGAAGGCTTGTGGATGTCTACGGTCGCTGTACCGGTCTACAGGGCTGGGCAGGGGTTCGGGATCAGGATGTGCTCATTGGTGGCAATGAGTTCTTACGGTCCTGGAAATTGTTTCGAAGAACTCCGAAGCGGCATAGGGCTAGCTCCACCCGAACAATCCCGAAACCGTCGCAAACACACAGTGGTCCGAAGCTACATGTGCATCATAGTGCTCGTTTGTGCTTCTCGACCTACACACTCTTTCGGCCTCAACAATTTGAATAAGGCTCTGGGGTAGATTACATTGTGAAATAGTATTGGTGACTAATCAGTGTAACCAGCTCTTCATGACAGTGGAATTCCGAACTAGGAGCCCTATAGAGCTTCTCGTATGTTCCCTTCTGAGCCCCACCTCCCACCATTGAAGCCGCGCATGGCGGAGCTGAGACTCTTCTTCAGGCTCCTCCAAGAAAGCCCAGGCCAACGCGCAATGACGCTAGTGCAGTGCGGGCGTAGATGTCTGAGACGCTACATCCTAGTTCAGGGTTCTAAGCATGCAGAGGACTCCGGCACCAGAACTTCCAATTTTTAGGGCATCAAGTAACATTCGTGCGATGCCATGTGCCAACAGCAGGTGAGGGGAATGTACCGTCGATCTAGGTGTGCAGAGTATAAACACCGACTCCTGGGCACCAAAGGCCTTGTTATGATACCCGGTAACCTCCAGAAGCGACTAGACTACGAGCGCATATCCCCCAGAAGGAACAGTAGCTAGAAACCTCCTGAGACTCCTGAGAACTCTATGTAAGCCCGAAAGCTTCAAAACCCAAATCATGACCACCGGACTCGAACATCCTCCTTGTGCCAAAGCTCAGCGGACAAGTCAGTCGAGGGCGGTGTATGTTCAAGCGCAGGCGCCTGCACGAAGTAAGGCACAACAGGACTTGAAACTCCCACATCAGGAATCTGAAGCAAACACACAAGTACTGTGTGGGTGACTCCCGGTGTACTACCCAAAGAGCCGCGATGAACGTAGCCATGTGGGCAGAAGCTAAGATGACCACAAACCCTCAATGAGGACTGGCACCTCTGCATCGGCGGCAGGGGTTGGAGCCATCATGTCCGCCTGAAAATTACGAATTCACCAAACATTTTTCGGGTCCAAAGTCATCTCGTGCCATGTAAGTTGCAGAAGAGCCTTTCGAGCCCATCGAATCGAAAGTCTGGGGTTCTGCTTCTAGCGTGCCGCACGCATCAAATCTGGGTCTAAATGACAACATTCCGACAAATCCGGCGTACCTGCTAGCAACTTGCGTTTACCTCATTGTACTAACAGTATATAATAGCAGCGGCGGTCGCGGCGACAACGACAACCACCACAGTTGTCATGCGACAGGACTTCACAACGTTGTATGCCCGTCGTGATGTGCAGACTTGTTGAAGGCCCCCTACCAGACGTCGATGGCGGTTCAAGATGCTGGGCAGCTGGGTCCTGTGCGCTTCAGCCTCTGGAAGCCGTGAGGTGGGGATAATCTGGAACTACAAACCCTGATGACTTCAATCTTCGACTCTCACGGCTTGGCATGGTCTGGGTTTCGCCGGCCGAAGGCCGAGCGAACACGACAGCTGTATGCAGCAAAGATGGAAATCGGAGTCGGGTGATCGAAAGCCAAGCAGTCAAAGCACAGAGAACTGTGAAGAAGCTGAAGAACACAAGTAATTGCAACATTCTATTTGCAACTGCGACGACGGCCACAGCACCGACAATAAAGGGGTGCTACTGCCCTTGGTCCACCGCTCTGGAACTGCCACGACAACAGCTGTGGCCACTTTCCCGACTTCTGCTCCCGCTCGTACTTCCTCCCGTCAACTACGACGAGGAAACTTGCTGCCAATGATGAGACCTGTACTCTAGCTTTATACAGGCCCCATACTGGTCCTAGTTCGCATGAACCCCCGCACCTCGGTAATCATGAAGCTGAACTGGTCCTCGACAGAACCCACTGCAGGCTTGGCTTGGTCTTGAACTAGTTCTTTTCGACGTATTTTCTTCTGACTTTTTTGCTATTGACTCCATATGTCTCTTATATAAATATAAAGCCGGTTCTCCAAATCCAATGCTCCTGCACTTCTGGCTTCAATAATGTCGACGGACACTGCAGCAAGTTCTGCTTGCACACAACGAACCTCTCAAGGAGTCAGTTAGTACTCGATTCTGCTTAACACGCTCGAAAAAGTTTCATGTTTCGGTGTTTCAGCCCCTGCCCACTTGACTTGGGTTGCTTTTTGTTTAAAATACTTGACTGTCGACGTCTTGCACCGATCTCTCACTCCTCCCTACCAGCCCAACGATGCCCAGGGTCTTGACACAGACTGTCCTGCTTCCTTGCTTGCTTCCTATGGGTCTGGAGGGCTGACGACCTTCCACTGTCTTTCTCTCTCTCTCTCTCTCTCTCTCTGTCTCCTGTTAAGGGTTCACTGTTCAAATGCATCAGAAACACAATTGCGCAGCCTTTTTTGGCATAGTGCCTTGTTCGGAAACCGCGCTGGACGTAAACTTACGGCCTTAGCTCCCCTTGACAAGGCCGTGGCCATGGCTATAAACCGAGCCAGTGTCAGGATAGTAGGCTCGTCGCATGATCGATACGGTACTCTTGCCACTACGGCTGCCACCTTTTCTGCTAACATCTACAATCTACAACATCAACTGATCCCAAGCAAGTGCCCAGGGTGAAGTTCCGTTCACTGCTGCAGCCAATTTTGCAGCCTCTACCATGTGTAGTCATTGTAGTCGTTTGTCGTCCATTCGCACTACGATTCCGACTCTTCTTCTGATCCTATTTCCAGAGCTACACCTGTTCCCTCCAGTGCAAAAGTGAGGGGCCTGAAACGTCTTGGGTGTGAAGGAATCCGGCGAAGCGAATGACTGCTTCTGCCAGAAATGGGCCATGAGGCCGCCTCGGCTGCTTGAATTTTCAGGTTAGGGTTGAGGGTTTGGCTTTAGCGCGTAGGTGCTGCACTTGCTTCGGGATTCGGAATTGAAGGTGCTACAATCCGCAGTTCCCACGTGCCCAAGCAGGAGGCAACAGGGTCCATGAGACATGGGCAAGTTCAGTCATCCGGAAAGAACTCGCGGAAGCTCGCACGGTTCCCCAAGCAAGGAGCACACACGATACATACATGTCAGCACGAAGTGCTTGAACGAGCCCGCGCGCAAGCACGTTTAATCTTAGGGTTGCTAGCATTGCGATGCTGCCTCTGCATATCCGTGATCGGTATCTGGTCATCATTGCTACAGTAAGACACAACGAAGCAAGCATAACACAGAAGCATATATTGTAAGTTCCCAGAGCAGTCGGCGAACGGCTGTGATGCTACGGTACATTCCTCCCATGATATAGCCAGCACCCCAAGCCTGAAATCACTAAACTCAAATTGTAAGACGAGCGGCTGCAGTAAGGAATTGAGCCCACATCCCAAACAGATGTGCTGGGAAGCACCTTCCTGGGCAACAGGTTCCAGACATCATGAGTGATCAACATGACCAAGTGGATCAAGCGAACCAAGCAGGGGTTTCGAAACAAAGCTCTGCAGGAAGCCAACCCGAGTCCAAGGAGCATGCAAGTCTGCACCATGATGCCGTGAGACACCACGATCAAGTTCTTGCTCCCGCGACGGCTTCTGCTCAAATATCGCCTAGGTTTGCTGAAGGGGCCTTCAAAGCAGACCGGGCAATCCATGGAACCGGATGACTGAATCCCTAAACACCAAACTGCCCCAAACCCTAAACCGTTAGAAACCCTATAAGCCACCCTGCACCCATGGGCTTCTAGGGCTGGGGGTGACATCTTCAGAAAAGCCACAGAAATCGTCGCGCGTAGCGCTGCCGTGCGGCCGGGATCCGCTCCCCCCATTTTGGGGCCGAGCCTGCAGGGAACAACCAAAAAATGTACTCTGCGGGCCGTGAAGATTTGAACAGGATTTTTGGGCATACTAGAGTATAATTATGGTATAATTACTGATAGTAGTTACGTAACTCTTATAGTATGGAATCCTAGAGAACCGAGCTGGAGAGCTTCCGGCTCGTCAGTGCGCACAGAACATCAAAGCGTCTTCAACTCAACACTTTAACTGAGAGAAGCCTCACACTCGAACATTCCAGCCGAGGACTCCCAGCTTCACTTTGGCTCCCAAACCCACCAAAAACCACAAAAGGCAGAGCAAAGAACTCGAAACCCAAGCCCGGCACCGCCAGAGCGAGCTGAAAGATGGGGAACCCGGCCTAGCACCCTCTGCCAACAAACACGGCGAGCTGGAGCCGTGGAGAAGCCCTTCTCCAGCTTCCTACGGCCACGTGCGAAGCTGCCGCTCTGTGGGAAACATATGTATATATACATATGCATATAGACACATATGTATCAATCTGTCGTTTTAACTAGCTATATTTGCATATACACACATATAATATATACCTTTTGTATATATACATATGCATGGTGCGCCTATATGCCACCTACACGTTCTGCTCCGTATCGAAGTCATGCGAAGTCAACGTCATCAAATCCAGCCGAGGGTCGGCTCCCAGGCTTCCAGGGCCTTCAGGGCTTAGGGATGATTAATAGTAACACTGATAGGAACAAGAAGAAGAACAATGATAAAACCAATAACACTGATAGCAATAATAACAAGAATGAAAAGAAGAGCAACAAGAATTATTAAAAAAAACAAGCAAATCAAAAATAATAACAATCATTAAAACATCGTGATTATCATAATAACAAGCTCGCAAAAGCCAAACCAAACACGGCCGGTCTTCGCGTCGGCACAAGCTAACGAGTTTGTACTTGATTAGCGGCCGTTTTCTGCTCTGCATCTCTGACAACGAGGCTCATAGGGGATCAGGGCTTCCTGCCGGGAAAACAGGCAGCTTTCAGTCTGAAGGAATCTTCTTTGGGTCAACCTTTCCACACAAAACAGCTCGCAAACTTTCCGCGAGTTTACCCGTGCCGCTGAAGGAGTAGATCCCCAGAACGGTGCATGAGCCCGAGACCCAAATGCGGAATCACGTGCCTTATGCAACTCGTGTCGCGTGCGCCATGCCCGTGGGCGCGCACCTGCGGGAATGCAACGACGGGCGATCCAAGCTCCCACATTTTGCAGAACCGAGTCCCTGGAAGCTTGAATGCAATTCGTCATGTATGTGATTGTCATGAAGATTCGAGATTTACTGAGATTTACTGAATCATGTTGTGGAGATAACCTCCGACCTCACAGTGGCATCGCCATCTAAGCTCCTACGTCGTGATCATACAGTAGTGTCAAGGTTGGGATGTCAATCGGTAGAAACATGTAACTGAAAACAAAAGCTACAGGGAACGCTGCCACAACAACGGCGATGATGCTGCTGATGGCGACGACATGTGCGAATGCGCTGATGAACGCGATTATGATCAGGAGAATGCTGCTGTAACTGGCCCGAAAAACTCCGCTGAGTAGGATCTGGATGAAGAAGGTCAAGAGAGTAACATCATGACGATGATGAGGGCGATAGCCAGGATGCACACGATTAGATTCTGTTGTTCATGAGAACGGCAACAGTACATACGATGACAAAACTGGCCCCTAATATGGTGGTTGGCCACATCTACTCGCACTCACACTCACAAGTTTTTAGCGATCGTAGCCATGATGGTGAGGGTGGTGGTGCTGGAAGGAATGCTGCGGAAGATGCTGATGGTTGATGTCACAACGGCCATGCCCTGTTCTGACGACGACTTGATCGGTTTCGACCACCACCAACATCGCCGCCGCAACAGCAGCACCACACGTCCAGTGCCGCTTCTTGCTCTTATTTGTCTGCTGCAACTGAACCCACGGAAACGGCAACACCAGCAAAGCAGCAGCTGCCACAGCGCAAGCCATAGCATTGAAATAGAGGCGACAAGATGCCAGAAACTCGACAGCTGGTGAGGGCTGTTGAATGATCCCGCTACTTCCGCACCACACGGCAAATCCTGCAGTCCGTAGTACCACATGAGGATCTTGGTCGTGCTTAGCTTCTCAAAGGTCGAAGGTTCCCAGGCTACAGACGGTCGTAACTAAGCAACAGTTTTACGCAAAGGACAGAACAATGCAAACAAGCCTGTGCAATCGCGTCTAGTCCAGATCTTGAAAACGAAGGCCCCCTGCAATTGGCTACCCCTGAATCCCAAATGCCGAGATATGACGAAGACAAGGTAACACAGGCTACTTCATCTTGCCGCCTAACTCTCCGAAGATGTCGGGGCCGAAGACTTCGCCCAATTCCTGGGCGTGGGAGATTTGCCATTTTGGACCGCGCCGCGCGCCATAGCTTTGCGGTTGGGATGGTTTTGCGGTCGCGAATTTGGGGCTCGAGGCTTCCGTGGCCCGGTACACCATGTTCTCAAAACCTCAGACGGAGCATGCATGCTTTTTGCGTATGGCCCAGGTGGCTGCACAGAGGGATTTCTAGCTGTTAGCATGGCTATTTAGGGGTCGATTTTTACCTTGCGGTAGTACTGGCCGACTCCGACGTAAAGTGAACAAGCAGCCTGCCTTGGAGGAAGGTGTTATGATACTCCGTCATTCGTAGGCGCCGCACTGGGCCGTGTTGTTCCGAATCCAAGGCAAACATGCACGTCACGCGCCAAGCCCATCTGTAGCTTGTGTTTCAGTGGATCGCTGGCAATCGAACCAAAGATCTGGTGCATGTGCAGGTTGTTTGCAACATGTTGTATAGGAGTTACCCTGCCGAGACGCACATGCGGCTGACTCTCGGAATCGAGCTCGTAGGTTGCGTGTCTTCATGAACGGACAACTTGGAACTGCAAAGCCGGCATCGTGTTTACAAATCCACCTCACGATAACGCCCTTCCACCATCCATGCGACCCCCTCATAAGAGATTCTGCCCGACGGAAGACACCCGAAAACGCTTGCATAAAGTCACATTCTCCTGCCCAGATGCTTGGTCGAGGAGAACCACCAGATCCAGCGCATCAGCTATTGCCACGGCTGTCTGGACGCAGCGTAGATACGGCGAGGAAACGATGATGCCATAGTCGCCAAAACTCGGTGAGGCAGGTTCCGAAACCCTGAACAGCGTGTTGGCGCATGGTCGAGACAGTAGCAAGAAAAACCGGGTCGAAGCACCCAAACAAAGGCTTCCCGAGAAGAAGAGCGCTGTGTATGAGGGTAAACGCTGCACCAATCAGTCCTTACATGCAAACAGTCCAGTATCAATCGTCAGAGTAAGAAACAACTCAACGCTTCTTAGTACCTTGAAGAGACCCTAGAACCTAAACTCCCAAACAAACGGCTGTCGAGGGCAAGAGGTATATTCAGCTCCCTGGATCTTGCTTTCGAGGCACTCACGGAGTGTACGTGCCACCTCCTTGGCGGCCCTCACGCCTAGACCAAGGTCAGGACTGGATATCATGCGGGAGAATGAAGGACTGAAGGATTTGGGGATGTTCTCACATCTCGGCACAGCTGAGTGCAAGGGGTTTAATTGGTGCATGACTTGAGCAGCCACGGATAAAACTTTCATTTGATGTAAGCAGCGTGGCAAACAGGGGTCCGGTCACTCTTCCGATGGTTGCAGGTTCCGGGCGTTCATCCCTCCTTCCGAAAAAGACCATGGACAAGGACAGAGATTCGGAAAGCCGTGAAGACGAGCTCAGCTACCTTCGAAGCTTGCGGGCTCCCAGTTTTGACGGGAAAAAGAAACTGTCGACCATTCAGTAAACCTTTGGGGCGTTTCAGCTTCCGGCTTTCGACGTCGGCTTCGGAGTGAATGGCAATGAACACCGGGGCGCGTTACAGTAAGGGTTTCCAAGATGTTTCATGGCTCCGGGTATGGGGTCGGATGAATTTCACTATTACATGCAATCGGGGCAGGCAGACAATCATTCCCGAAGGCCATGCATTGTCCTATATCGAAAACCCCCCACCCTCGTCAGTGATTGGACAATCTCCAGGATATTTCGCTGCGTCCTCCGTCTGATGCCAGCCGGAATCGAAAACCTCGGTGCCGAACCGGCAAATGGCTTCCGAACTTTCACCCTCGATGTACTGTGGAGGACTCGGGGATCCTGACATGTGAGCAAATGAGGACGAGAATCAACTAGAAGACGAGTGGCCCGAAAGCATCATTAGCCATGAGTTTTGGGGCCATGAGTGTCGGCTATAGAGAGTCTATAGAGAGTCTAAAGAGAGTGTCGTAGAGTCAAGTGTGGTAAAGTCAAGTGTCGTAGAGTCAAGTGTCGTAGAGTCAAGTGTGGTAGAGTCAAGTGTG